CAGACAGCAACACAAAAATATCACAGCCTAATAATGCAATAGTGTGTTCAGTATTAGGATTTTTCAAAAAAGATATTGTACTGATTTTGACTTTTAGGCACTTTAGAAAATTGTTTTGATATATTTGTATGAAATATAGGGTTGTTAAATCTCGGGTATTTACGTAATTTTAAAATAAATAACATTCTGTGATGATAAATTGCAATGAGGTGGTCGTTTTGCAACAAGGTGGACACAGTTCTGTTCATAACAGTAGACCTGCTGGTCAAGAAGTGACAGGTACAATAAAAAAGGGAGAGACAGAGATATTATAGACAGAGATAAATGAAGAAAAGTAAAAAGGGAAGTGAATGTGCAGTTCAAGAGACAACCTTTAATTATTTTTCACGGCCCCAGACCAAGGATTTAGACCTTTTTATGTGATGGCCATTTAAATAATAGGGTTATCTGTGCTTTCAGAATTTGTAGTGGGTCAATAGGCTATATACAGAAAAAAGAGGCCAAAATGGTACCTTTTGGGGTACAACAGCTTGTCACTGTCAACCTTAAAAAGGACATCTTTTTGCCTTTTACCCCTAATAGGTAAATATTAGTACCTTATGTGTTCGAATTACTATAAGGTACTAATATGTACCTATTAGGGGTAAAAAAAAAAGGTACAAAGATGTACTTTTAAGGGTACTGCTCCAGTGACAAGCTGTTGTACCCCAAAAGGTACCATTTGGACTCTTTTTTTTCTGTGTGGCCTGGATGAGTGTGAGATTTCCCGGCCTGAAATTGCGTCCCAGTCCGGCCCTGACTGTAAGGGTAGGTTTAGGGTTGGGGTAGGTGTAGACTGTAATAAAACACAATCTAATAGTTAGAAAACAATATTTATTGTTGGTTTCCTGTAGCTGTATCCTTTCTAGCCACAGCCGCGAATATAACACATAATAACTGTATTTGTATTACTGTAAGAGTAGGTTTAGGGTTGGGGTAGGTGTAGACGTTAATAAACCATAATTTTACAGGTTGCATTTTTCGTTGTCGAATTGTAGCCTACTACCCACTGTTTTAATGGGAGGTAGCAAAATCTGACAGGGTAGCACAAATCGACAGAACAGGTGTCAATCGGTGCATCTCTAATCTTAGTTTATGTAGTCAATTAGGCTTCAGAGCTTTTCATTTTCACTTGTGAACCTGAAAAGCTGCTAATGTTATTCAAAGCCTATTTGAAGTTCTTTCAGCATTTAAACATAATTTCTGTCACAATGAAGGCTGTGCAAATCTTCTTTAAAGCCCTGGTGCTGTCATAATACTGTCATAATTTATGATAACAAACCATTTTTTCTTCTTTTTTTCTTTTGACTGGGAGAAAGAAAGAATTCATCAGCAGCTTCATTCAACAATTTTGTGGAATGCAGTTTCTGTGTATAAAAGGCAAGTTTATAACTTAGTTTTTACACAACTTAAAAGTGGCTGTCTACATTTTCAATACACTAATTAAAATCAAACTATATGGCAAATCACAACACAGGAAATTGTATTTGTCATGCTTAAATCAAATAAATAAAAACTGTGCCATCATTTACTTACTTTTATAAAAGAAGATATTTTGAAGAATGTTTCAACTGTTTTTATCCATATTATTGGGGTCCAGTGATGAAATGATGACAAATGATTTCAAATGATGATGAAATGATGACAAAATTTTTAGTTTTTGGGTGAAAAAAAATCAGACAATTATTCATTTGGCTCTCAGAATGTACACTGTAAAAAAAATTTTCAAAGTTCTAAATGAAACAAAGATTTTTGGAGTTATAAGAAAATGCTATTTCAGTCTGTCTACTTCCAAGTTTCACATTTAATTCACTGTTTTACTTGTTTCTTTGTAATTATTTGTGAAATTTACTAGCAATTCCTGAGTGAAAATTGTTTTAAAATAAATCCTACACCATTTTTTCAGTGTTTTTAGGCAGTGTTTATAATGTCTGTAATGTTATTACCTCACAACAAAAAACATTAGCTCATCTCAGGCCAGTTTAATATTGATTTAACTCAATCAGTTCCAGATGAGTGGAGAACTGAAAGGGGTTTAAAAGGAGGTCAGCATAGTTTACAATAACAGTCAGCGTCATTGATTTGTTCATGATTAGGTTGTGTTTATGGCTCAGCAGTATGAAGGGTCAATTTTGGCCTTGGTTGACTAAGTTTGTAAGCCACCATGAGGCTTTATAGGGATCTCGCTGCCCCTTTCAGGTTTAGTCAATGTAAAGGAACACCCTAATGGCTGCTCTCAAATCAATGCTATCCTTAACAACAGAGCAACAAAATGAACAAAGCTCCGTCTTGACATGTTCTGATAGATCTAACTGGCATCTCTGAGCTCAGATCTATGGGTAATCCATACAGATGTGTGTGGGTGGTAAACGACACAGTGAAGAAAGACTTGTTTTCCTTGATTCCTTGATTATGTTTTCCCTTTGTGCACAAGCTCTTGTCTCTCCTTCATTAAAGCTAAAATTCAGCTGTTTTTCAGTATGCAGTAAAATGTAAGACTCAACTCTCTGTTCACCAAACGTACATCCAATTTCCACATATAATAACTATAACTATGTTTGATAACATTGTGAATGAATGTTGCAGTGGCAGTGAAGGCTAGAATAAAACAGTCCAGATTTCATCAGTGCAATACAGTGCTCTTGAAAAAACACCATCGGAGCAGCTACACAGCAAAGATGTGATGAAGGGATGTGAGAATTAATTGATATTCATATTCTCTTATTCACAAAAGCCTGCATCTGACATTTATAAATGCCTCTATCCTTAGAGAGATGTAAAGATGTTGCATGAGTAATGAATATTGGTTATTTTCACTCAGTATTTGTAATGTGCCTTTTTAACAACCGCCGTATCAACACATTTAACACTTGTTTTTCAGAGCTAGTTTTCATCAAAGGAAACTATTGATAGGATTTCTTACAGAGGCCTTTTTTCCAAGACTATTGCAAAAATTATGTGGAATTATCTTATGCTGTCTGTAAAATGACTGATTATTTTCCATCTGACAGACATCTTGACAATCTGATTAACTACTGTATACCCAAAGTTGATTACATGAAGTGAACAGTCTTGAAATTGCTTTAGAAGTCTGATGAATCATATTTAATTAGTATATGAATGCTGCATCTATTTGCATAGCTTTTACATGCCTATTTTAAGGACAGTCAGGGAAACTAAACTGTACTTCTTGAAAATAAGCTATGGTTTCCAATAGCAGACTAGAAACTGAATGTCTTGATTAATCTTGATGCAAAATCCAATGTGTCAATCAAAATCCAAGATGAATTAAACTGTACTTCACAAAAATAAGCTATTGTTTCGAATAGACTAACTGAATACCTTGATTAATCTTGATGCAGCAAAAATTCATTCAGAGATGAAATGCACAGCTCAGATTGATCAAATATGTTCTTCCTTTAGGTGTCAAATTACTTCATAATTGTCTCTGTATGCAATTTTTTTCACAATACAAAACAATAGGCATTTAAATGTAATGGCCCTCAACGCTGCACTAGATTCAGTAATCCAGCTCTAGTGGGAAGAAGCATGACACTGAACTGAATGTGCAAATTACTGTTCTCATTAAAGTCTTAGGATACTTCTAATCAATTTAATTGCCCTGAGTAATGAGAAACCCTAGTTATGACAGAAATCAGAACCAAGAAATACAACATTCATGTAGCCGACCACTTACAAACTTGTTTTTAACAGGACAGACACAGATTTTGGCATTTTTATTACATTTTTTCAACAATGCGCTTTAGGACACTTCATTCCTTCCCTTAAATTCAGAAGTTAAATACTAGGGTCAAAATGTTTTTAGGAATGTCTCAGTTGGAGGAAATGTGTTTTACCGTTAAGTAAACTATCAGTTTTCATATAATACTCTTTTCCCAACATGCTCTAGCTAGCAAACAGTACATTTTTACAAGGATTCTTGGGTAAAATGCCCAAATTTCACTCACAAACGGTTATCAGAACTCACAAAATGATATGACATGCTTATAATATTATTCAAGTTCATGCTGCACTGGGAGAACAAGGACATTTGAACGTGGAGTGTTTTTTGTTGTTGTCCCTTTTGCTGGCGTATACTGATGTTTAAATACTGAACATTATGTTGGCAAGACATTTCTGTTTAAAAAGTGTGTGGGTTGGTGTCTCATGAGATTACTTCAGAATTCTATGTGGACTGCTTTCATGTCCAAACTATACAATGCATGCATTTACTCTCCTGTGGAAGATTTTCGTACTAGAGTCAACAGCTGAAGCAATTCTCACGTGTATATTTGTTTAATCGCAAATAGCACGTAAGCTATCAGACTGAGGTATTTTAGACACAAGGTTATTTAGATGAACAGAACATTTATGGCACCTACTCCTCACCACTTGAAACCATCAGGTCCCTTCAGATCAATAACCACATTCAGCTCTTTGCCATCTTTGAAGAAACAATTTGATTGCTTGGTTGCCTTTCAAACAGCAGTAGGCCTATAAGCAATTTGTTGCCTCAACGTATGACACTTCTGCACTATAATATCTTATCAACACTCATATTTAAAAATGTGTCTGAAATGCATTTGGAAGCAGTGTCGCAACCACTATAGACATTGAAAGGGACACTTTCCCCCTTAAATATTGTGATTGCTGGTTGACCAATGTGTTTTAAACGATTTAATCATTATTCAATCATCCTTGTGTTTGAAAGTCAACACTTTTTTACAATCTTCTTTCAGCTATGAAAAACTTTACAAAACCATTTCTCAGACTTTAAAGATAGAGATATCTCAGAAATATTAATCAAATGCTATTCTGTTCAGCCACTGTCTTATAGCAGGCAGAGGCTCCATTCATTCGTATTTCTGCGAGCAATCTGCCTGTCACGTGTACACGAGCGCTCTGCGTATTTACGGTAGACAGTGCTGCGCTGCTATAGTGTATGCGTGACATTACGGTAAATTTATAGATCCGTCGGGTCTTGGTTGTTTGCAAAGCCAAAGAGCACCTCAATGCAAATTTATCAAGAGAATAATCGGACGGCATACCGAAAATAGCGCAGCAGAATCGCAGAAAACCTCAGAAGCTTCTTTCAACTATACTGGTGAGAAAGATATTAATTTTTGGATTCTTTATTACAGATTAAATATCTTTGCGCGGTTGCTGTACCTATCCATCTCGCATAGTTATACACAGAAGTACTGGCTACTTTCATTTGACTCATAACAGAGCAAACCTAACCTAGTAGTGAAACTCACGCGGTGTCGCAGGCAAGAGTGCGCATTTGTGCTTTAGGAAGTTTATTTTAATTCACTCTTGAACCGACCACGCTTGATGCCGCTCAAAATGTGCGTACAAAAAGTAAATGGAGTACACAAACAGCGCGACAACTTACTGTTCCCCTAAACTGACACTGGTTTGACAGTTAAGAACGTTCGTTTAAAGAAGCACCTCCTTTAAAACGGAAGATTGGATTGTCAAGACTTGTTTTATGCAATATCCCACTTACTGAGTGGCTTGAGTCACATTTCTAACGTTAACAATTGTCACCGGTGCGTTTCGCGCGGCGCTTGAGGTCGGTGAGAGAGATTCCCTCACATTACATTTTGTAAGTGCGCACAGTTTTGACTAACGTTATGTGTTATTATTTGTCTTTAGGGTCGGACTTTTTCATGCTGAGAAGGTGATTTTAAAGTAAATTTAAAGATGTGAAAGATTTTAGGAAATATTTACCGTGTCAAACTAAATGGGGGGAAAACTGTTGTGATATCCTAGATAGGGGAGAGTGGGGACGGTTGCAACACTTTTTGCATTTGCTTTAGTTTCTCAGAGACTGTTTGCATTAGAAAGCCAGAATTATAATACAATAAAGCCACATCAGTCAGCTACTCACCCACATTGCTGTAACACGTGCACATATGATTATACAATTTATACTTGAATAGACAAAGTCAAATGTTGCAACTGACCCCACAACAGGGAACGGTTGCAACAGTCCACAGAGGCAGTTGCAACATTCATTAAAATGTAATTAAAACAATTCTTAAATATCATTTTGCAATTTCTTTATTTTATTTGTGCGTAGACATGGTCTTTAATAAGTTAAATTGGCTGTATAAAAACCAAAGAATAGTAAATGGAGGAAAAAAAAATTTTTTCAAGTAACAACCATGTCTTGGTTAATTATTACAATACATTTGAACTACAAAATATTAATTTAATCAGAGTCAAGACACTGAAATTTAATAATAGCCTACTTCTGTTAACATATGTGAAAGGTTACTGAACTGAGGCCATTGCATAAACATAGCCCTATAAAAACCAAAGAATAGTAAATGGAGGAAAAAAAAACATTTTCAAGTAACAACCATGTCTTGGTTAATTATTACAATACATTTGAACTACAAAATATTAATTTAATCAGAGTCAAGACACTGAAATTTAATAATAGCCTACTTCTGTTAACATATGTTAAAGGTTACTGAACTGAGGCCATTGCATAAACATAGCCACTATCTTAAGACTGTCTTAAGAACTAGTTTGACCAACTAGCAGTTAACAGTGGTAATCAGTCTTACTTTTTTAAAATTCAAATTAGACAAATCTACCATTTTATGGAACTGACTTAAGTCCACTTTTGAAATGAGTCCAAATTTACTTAAAAAAGGAGAAATACCTAACTATTTAAAGGAGTTCTTTATTAATCCATAAAATTATAATTATGCAATGTTATGGCAAGCTTTTACATCAATGTCGTGGTAAGGGACAGCATTGCAACAACGTGTTGCAACTGTCCCCACACTGACAGCCGTGACAAAACTTGGTATATTAGCTTGACACAATATCTTTGACACATGCTAACTATGCCTATTACCTTTAATGTTTTAAGTTAGAAGAAAGTTGACAGATTGTTGGTGTGGCCTTTTCAAAGTGTTGAACAAATACCTAATGTGCTTTTAACTGGGTTAAGACCATTTTAAACCTATGTTAAATGACGTTTTATATTAATTTTATTATTGTATATGTTTATTGACATTTATTCTATAGGTGATAGCCTATCTATTATATATTCGCGTGAGATTACTTTTTAAAATTGCTAACATCATGCCTGCATCCCAATGTGCATACTATCCATCCTAAATTCTATGTGATATTAGTCATTTTCAATACTATTTAGGGCAGATAGGGCAGATAGTATGCACATTGGGACGCAAGGCATGTCTTTGCCAGTAGGGGAGAGTGGGGAAGGTTGCAGCACTTTTTGCATTAGCTTTAGTTTCTCAGAGACTGTTTGCATTAGAAAGCCAGAATTATATTACAATAAAGCCACATCAGTCAGCTACTCACCCCACATTGCTGTAACATGTGCACATATGATTATATACATACAATTTATACTTGAATAGACAAAGTCAAATGTTGCAACTAACCTCACAACAGGGGACGGTTGCAACAGTCCACAGGGGCAGTTGCAACATTCATTAAAATGTAATTTTAATGATACATTTGAACAATACATTTGAACTACAAAATATTAATTTAATCAGAATCAAGACACTTGAATTGAATAATAGCCTACTTCTGTTAACATCTGTGAAAGGTTACTGAACTGAGGCCATTGCATAAACATAGCCACTATCTTAAGACTGTCTTAAGAACTAGTTTTACCAACTAGCAGTTAACAGTGGTAATCAGTCTTACTTTAAAAAAAAAAAAGCTCATCGGTCTGAAAAGCGAGGTGTGCTGTGATTGGCCTGCAACAACGTGTTGCAACTTGTCCCCACACTGACAGCCGTGACAAAACTTGGTATATTAGCTTGACACAATATCTTTGACACATGCTAACTATGCCTATTAGAAGCTAAGAAAACACAGATATAAATCATATGTTTTTACAATGCTTCACGCAAACAACTTAGACAATATGACAAAAAATCTGATGATTAAAAAAAAATAAGTTTTTTACCATGAAAATTATTATTTGTAGAAGGAATGGTCACATGTGCCTGATTTTATCCAGGAAGGATGAGGGGCTGATTGAGCATGTGTAGTATGAATATCATCACTGTAGCACATTCCTGATTGAAGAAATAAGCCATGTTGCAACCGTCCCCACTCTCCCCTACACTCAAGTACTATAGAAACATATTAGCTGAGCTCCCACACATTTTTTAGATAATTATGAGCCATTATTTGAAGCATAATCCATAAGATATGTCCACACTGTCATGGGCATATATATTACTGTTAAATACGTTTTCATTGCTAAATTAAGATGCAAATTATATTTTCAGAAAGGTATGATGTGCCTTTCCTAAACAGGGTTATTTGTTTGCTTTCAAATTATAAATACATAAAAGATTTTATGTAAACCATGTGTTTTTAAAGAAACTCATACAATTTGCACATGTAGCTGCCTGATTTTATCCAGGAAGGATGAGGGGCTGATTGAGCATGTGTAGTATGAATATCATCACTGTAGCACATTCCTGATTGAAGAAATAAGCCATGTTGCAACCGTCCCCACTCTCCCCTATGCCTTTCTCCAAATAATAATTTTTTAATAATAATCATGATAACAGGGTTGGCAATTTAAGGTAAAATACTTTAATTTGATATCCTAAGTTTGTTATTTATGAAGTTTCATTTAATAATGGACTTTTTATTAGTGTTTTTAAATAAATAACATAATGATATAGGCTAATATAAATAATAATAATATTACCAAAAAACAAACAGACATTTTTTTTCCAGATTAAAATATGCATTGCTAATAAGGAGAAGTTAACAGGTCTGGAGGGAAAAAGCCAAAAAGGAAAAGCTCATAAGGAAAAGTTACTTGATTGTTGTTGATATGTGAAGAAAAATGGCTATAACAGACAAATATGATCGATACAAAGGCACCATTTTTGTGGAATGACGCTGTTATTGAAGTGTTTGATTTAGAGCAATGTTTACTCTCTGAAAACCACTGTCTTTGCACAGACTGAGATTTCAAGCGAAGCATGGGCAGAATTTTAAATTATAATAATATAAAAAAAGCCTTTGCATACTTATTCCAATGCAAGAAGCTTTTGGAAAAGACCCACATATTTGTGACAACAAAGACAATGAACCTTTTCCTTCTCTCAAACTACCAGCAATTGAGCTTTGTTGTGGTTTCAAGTAGGGATATGCCGGTATAAAATTTTCATGTTGCGATTAATTGCTAATGCTATTTACTATCAGTAGTCTTGTTGTAATCATGTTCTTGGCATTGTAAAGGAATTCTTGGAAATCTCCGCTCCCTGTCTGATGCTACTTGCTCTTCTTAAGGTCAGAGAGTAATTGTTGCTTACAGCCTTAGTGAAACGCACAGACAAGGACTGGTGCAAGGAAATGTTTTGGTAATGTCTGGCTGTTTTATGTCCTCGTTTCCTGTCATGTTCACACCTTTGAAATAGTGCCCACAGTCCTTTTTTCACCATTGGTTTCTGTGTGGTTTGTTACGTAACAGTTCAACTCAAATATCCATCGTGGTCTCCCAGCCTGAGGTGATTCCTCATGCAGATTTTGTGAATGGTGATCCTCAGGCCTGTCTCACTAGTTTTATGAGAAAACCCATGCTGCAGTGATCCAAAGTCCGTAGCACTTTTTGAGCCACTGCCGTTTTTGATAATCAAAGCATAAAACAGCGGTTATAGTGGCATGTGTTTTCTTGATCTTTGTTCTGGAGACAGGTGTGGGCGGTGAATGTGTGGGAATTTATTACTCAAAGGAGGAAGAAACCTTGTCCTGTTCTTCCCGATTCTGTTACCATGGTAACATAAGGAAGCAGGGGCTATGCATTTTAAATAAAGTGCAGATACTGACCACTTGCTTTCTTTGAAATAGGGGGCTTGAAAGGGCATGGTGATTGAAATCTAAATCCAGATCATATGTACACAGGACCAGAATTGCCTTCTGTCCATTTCAGATGTCTCATGAGAACAGAACGTGTAATTATGCCTGTCTGTGGGGAGGAAATATGGAAGAATACACCTTCTTCTTGTGTGCAAAGCTTAGTCTAAGATTGATTACAGTGAGTTGCATGAAATATAGGGTTGGGTACCGAAGCCCAGTACC